TCCCTTAATGCCCCATCTCTAATACTAGCATTTTCCAACAGCTTGTGTAGGGCTGTTGTGGGATAAAGGTAATAAAACTAGCAAGGTGTTTGGCTGTATAAGGACTGTGAAATTAGGATGGATGGATGGATGGAGGGACGGACGGACGGATGGAGGGAGGCCTGGAGGGATGGGTGTTGTGGGTGGGTGGGTGGATGGATGGGGCGGTGTGGACAGGTGGACTGATGGGGGGGTGGATGCACAGGTAGACGGACGCCTGCAGAAAGCTGGTGTTCAACTGCCCCGAGCTGGCTGCATCCCAGAGACCAGAGACCGGCCAGGACTGCTCCTCCCCCCCAGCACTCACAGAGACAATGATGTCTGCGATGGTCTGGTTGGACATCTTGCTGTCTCCAAATGCCTTGATGTTGAAGGCACTGATCTTCAGCGTGGTGGCTACATGCAGCAGGAGAGCTGCAACCAGCAGCAACAGCACCAGCTTTGAGGATGCCATCTGCATGTGGAGGGGTTGGGATGGGCTCAGCCCGGCTGACTGGGAGGGGAATTTGGCACAGATGATGAAGGTGGCCAGGGTATTCCCACTGGTTGTACTGGTTTCACTGGGAGTCATCTGCTTTCCAGTGAACCACCGGGACCCAGGGGTGCATCCCTTTCCAGCCATCCAGCTCCTGCCTCATGCAGGGCCCCATCCTGCCTCTCCTTCCTGGAGGGAGGCCAGACCGCCTGCGAGGCCGGAGCAGATAATCCACTGGCAAAGGAGAAAATGCCATTTCACGGTGACGCAGAGCAGTTGCTTCCTCATTCACCATGCTCAGCCCGGACACCTCTCCTGGCCCAGGGCAGGTGGCAGTGGCTGGGGACACCAAAGTCCCTTGGCTTGTGCCTCTCCCACCCCTCCCCAGGTCTGCACCCAAAAGACCCTACAGCAGCTATGCTGGGACAGAGCAAGGGATGGATCCCTCCCACCCCTCCTCACCTCCTTCCCTGCTTGGAGCATCCTCAACTGGAGTATCCTGCCCTCCCTGCCCCCCAGCACAGCCCCTGCCCCATCCTCACCCAGGTTGGTGTCCCCCAGGATCCCTGCCGAGGCAGTGCGGCAGCCCCCACCCACGGGAAAAGGCATTTGGGAAGTATTTCCCGTGGCGCTCTGCTCGCCCAGGTAATATTTCACCAGACGATGGGATCTGAGCCCTGCCCCAGCCCAGGTGTCCCGAGCGCCCAGCCCTGCCGGGAGCCTCAGTGAGATGGGCTGAGGTTTCCCAGGAATTTGGCAAACACTCCAGCTTTCTGCACACCCAATGCCCAACCTGGGGAAGGGCTTGCTGTCCCCGTCTCACTTTCCCTGCTTGCTGGCTGCGGCTGCGGACACTACCATCTGTAAAACCGCAGTCCCGGCGTTCGGTAACGTGCTGGTTCGGGAATGCCACCAGTCGGTCACGTTCTGATTTGGTCATGCCAGAAACTGCCCCAAACCCTGCATATCCTCCCTGCTCCCGTGGGACGCAGCAGCCTCCGCAGCCTCCCAGGCAGAGGCACCCGCAGAGGAACGTATCCCTCCTGGGCGATGCTCGTGAGCTGCCCCCAAAATCAGCCCTGGCAGAGCATCTCAGCAAAACTGAGCCGAGCCGAAGGAGGCAATGTTGGAGAGGGGAAGTCCTGGGGTGCGCGACGAGAGGGGAGAGGGACATACCTTTGGTGCTGTCGAGGTCTCTGGGAGGGGAATGAGCTGCACCTGCATTTATGGGGAAGGACGCGCTCACCTTGCCAAGTGGTTGCCCAGCCAAGGAGCGCACAAGGCCGCAGGCTCCATATGGCATTTTTCACGGAAATAAAGGTCTGCTCAGTGAAAAAACCAATCCTTTCAACCAGTGCCAATACCTTCCGCCACAGGTAAGGCTGAGAACGTGCCTGAATCAATAACAACGCCAACAAGAAGTCTGTGAGGTGTAAGTGAATCCCAGAGACCACTCGTGGGGAACAGCAGCTCCCCAGTACGGGGCAGATCGCACTCATCACCACCTACAATTGCTCTTAAAAAGTGTTTATTTCACCAGTGGTTTCAGGCGAGTGGGATGGGGCCAGCAGGAGTCCGGTGCTGGGGGCTGAGCACAGCCAGTCCATCCCATCACGGCCAGATTTGGTCTTCGGGTGTGGAGCTGAGCCATGAGTCCCAGAAAAATGCCAGGTCCCAGCTGCAGCGCCTGTCCCCAGACCCTCCCAGGAGGTCACCTGGAGCAGGCCCCGTTCCCGGGTGGGCCTATACGGTGCCATGGGAGTGGCAGCTCCCCACCCCACATGGTCTCGCAGCTCACCCCAGCCCTGCCCCAGTGCCCTTGGCTGACGCCCTGGCACTCCCCGGCTTTCCAAAGCATCTGTCACGTTTCCCAGGAGAGCCATGCCGGGCCCTGCCGTGTGTGGTAAGGGGGTGGGGGACCCTGCCAGCCCCCTGGAGCCAAGCACTCCCCCAGAGCCAGGCCACGGCCTGCACCCCACTCCCGGCAGAGGGGTCAGGGCTGGGCCCAGACCCTCCCAGAGGGGCTGCAGCTCCCCAGGTCAGCCCCATGTCCAGGGCCCCGCAGCCCAAGACCGCACTGGGGTCAGTCCTCCCCCAGGCCAAGACCTCCCCAAGGGCCAGCCCCAGGACCAGGCCCCCCTGGGCCAAGACAACCCTAAGGCCAGGTCCCTCTAGGCCAAGCCCCTCCCAGGGCCAGGTTTTCCTCAGGCCAAGACCCACCCCCCAGCCCACCCCCGGGCCAGGTTTCCCCCGTTCCA